GGGGGGGGGGACTGGATGTACCTTTCCTCGATGATTTTACAGCTACCATATAGAATGTGTTTTCCATATTAGAGTGAAGATTAAATGTACAAACGCAGCCATCGATTGGGCATGGGTAGAGTTCTTTGTCCTTAGCTATTTCTTCCTCCTTGTCAGCTCAGTCATTTCCCTCTCTTCCTCAGCTTGGTGGTGATGCGCTTTTTTTCCTTTGACGATGGCAGACCAATGTCAGTAAACTCTCCAGTGGTAAACTCATAGCTCGAGAGGATATTCTGCGTCAAACAACTAAGAACATTAGATAGGGACATACATTAGTCCTTGTAGATACCATTCCTGTGACATATTGATTTTTCGTTAACCATAATAATTTTTATAGCTTACCATGAGAATGCCTTTTAGTCGAGTTCAAATATCATAAATCATTTGCTCTACACACAGCTCATACCAATCTATGTAGGGCGGTAACTTTTGTCCGCTTCAATAATATGCATTATAAACTAGTTCTTTGCACGTTTGCATGCAGGTATTACGTCATAACAACATGATTTGTTTCTTCTACATAAAGGTTTATTGTCAAGGAGCAAACAAGCTTTCCACCATCTTGGACAACATCAGGGTATGATTATGAACAACAGGAGCGGGGGGGGCCCTAAAATATTCCGGAAGTCTTGAAGGGGCGTGCCTGACTGACTTTTAACCCCTTAGATTGCACAACGAATATTGATAAACTAAATCAGTTCCAATTATAACAACGCAGAGCCTGAAATCAATATCGATGAGCTCTTTCTCTTCTTTTCCAACACCCTAAGAGATGGAGAAAAGAAAATTTCAAGAAACTCCAAATTGGCAGCCTAAACGATTCCCAATCAAGAATTTTTACCCGGCAAATGAGATCCGACGAGCATCCCCCGGTACTTTTACCCCCGCAGTCACCCCACCGGGACTGATCACATAAAAGCGCAATTAGAAATGCAGTTCGTACTCAAATTCTTAACTTCCAGTGGTATGGTCCAAATGCGACATAATACACAGATAGATAGATTGACGAAGTCGAACTTGTTTTATTAGTCGGGCTAGCCGTAGGTTGAGTATACGCCACAGGAGGCCTGGAGCCGACCTCTTGATGAGATTAGCCGGATTTCAATCGTCGGAATATGAATAAATTAACAACCTCGGGGAGAAGGGGATTGTAAATAGTCAAATATCAGGCGACCAATATCAGACGCCCAATATCAGACGCTGGAAGAAAAGGCTATCTAATACTTGTCACTCCAAGACTCAATGACAATGGAAGGCTTCCTAGTACCAGTACTGTTAATGGTGACTTTCTGTCCTACTGGTAAATATATTAGCCGCAAAGATTGCTCTCTTTACTACTGTTGTTTTGATAACTTCTTATGTCGTAATGGTGTGGATGTTGGGATGCAGATTCACGTATAATATTTGAACCGTGMCCTGTACTGGTAGCAACAACATCTATATCTTTTCATGTAGTTCCCACTGCCTGTATTAACTTTAATATATCATATTAAAGTCAAAGTGGTTATAGTATATCGGAACATGKCGCAGTGATTTGCTATTTACTAGCGGTTTAAATTACTGCTGTACTTGGTRCATTTAATTATATTCAGAGGGTTTAGATTGAAGTTGTAGATGACAATGAGATTATTATACCTGACAAGACGGAGGCCTTTCGTACAAATAATTCTAAATWAAACAGAAAACAACATCAGAATAACAAGAAAAAAGAAGAAAAAATAAGGGGCAAAACGGCGTTCGTCANTTGTGCTAACTCGTGGGATATATAAATTCAAAACTTGAAGATAAAATTCATATCTTCAAGTGACAGCTGCAATGTTCTGTCTATTAAATGACATTGGTGTAAGCAAAAGTCTGTAGTTACATAAACATTAGAAGATCAAAAAGTTTGAACATTTCAAGAATATGAATTTATGATTTCTGCATGATTGAATAATGCAAAAACTGTCAAAATGCATTTATATTATTTGATGATTCCTGTAAAGATTGAAAAATATCAACTATTAAGAATCTTTTTTGTTTTAAAAAACAACAAAATTGCAAACAATTTCTATTGACAAGATGCATTTGTTATTAATATTTTTATTATTTCTGCATGATTGAAAAATTTCAAAACTGTCAAAATGCATTTGTTATTATTTTATGATTCCTTTAATGATTGAAAAATACCAAAACTGCCAAAATGCATTTAATATTATTTATAATTCCTGTATGATTGAAAAATGTCAAAGTTTTAAATATTAAGAATTAATATTAATTTATGATTTCTGTAAGATTATCTAAAGGAAGTTTTATTTTGGTAAATAACCACAAGAATTCAAAATAAGTGGTTTTCTTTACATATAATTATATATATCACTGATTTGCATCAACAAAGCTGAAGAGAAAAAGTTTAATAATTATTTAATGTAGTGCCATGGAATTTTTTTGTTGGCAAAAATAAATTAGTCTTGACAAAACATGCACTAAAAATCTGACCAATGTGTCTTGCATCACATCTTCATCCAACATGCATATMTTTTGCAGCTTTTGGGAGCTCCGCTATTAGGTTTTACCTAATTTTTATATTATGTATAGAGTTTGCATCGAGCGCTCACTTGATCCATCGCCAGCAGAAATTCTAAAATCACAGACACACAACATTGAAGTACTGAAATACCTTGAAGACCACGATAGAAGTTTAAACTATTTTGCTTTTTATTCGTTGAGTTATTTAATTTTTATTTTATACTGTCACGCGACTTGATACACGGCAAAAAACCTCGAAAACCCGGAATCTCCTAATATAACCGGGAGGAAGACGTAGGACGAGGGACTGGGACGCGCGATAAAGATGCATAAATTTATTTTGTGCAATATACTACCGCAATAAATTTCTTGTTTCTTTTTGTTAAATTGAAAATAAATCGATAAAAACTCAAATGACTGCTTCAGTATCCTGACAACAGAACTCTTGGATCAATAAAAATGAGTGGTCTAGATGCCTAGTACAACATTGAATTCGCCCAAGTAAGAGAATCCAGAGAACTAGAGGATTCCGGATTCCAAGCGCTGGATTCCGGATTCCAAAACATTGGATTCCGGATTCCAAGCCTTAGGATTCCGGATTCCAAAAAAAAATTGTTTTGGATTCCGGATAATAAATGGCGTGATTTTCAGTGTTTTTTTCCTGAAAATTTTATATTCAGCGTGTCAGTAGCCTGCGCAGGCCGCCGGCAACGCAGCTAGTGCGTCGCTAATTAACACTGTCTCCAATATTTGTCGCACGCTGACAAACAAACTACGTATATGAAGTACAGTAAAGTACAGCAATTCAGTTGGATGTATGTTCCCATCACTATACAGCTAGATTTTCATCGATAAAAGCAATCTTCCTAACTATCCAGATTCTGGATTCCAAATATTTGGATTCCGGATTCCAGGATAGGGATTCCGGATTCCAAAGCTGTTTTTTTATGGATTCCGGATTCTCTTCTCTTACAAGGGGCGATTGAATGCATTGAACCGTTTTTTGAACCGTTTTTTGAACCGTTTTATATCGTCAAGCGCTGCCATGAGCCCAGTAGATTTGAGCAAATCCTTTGACTCCGGCACAGAATACGTAGAATTTGAAACTGTCAATTGAGACACTTTTACGTTCGATTGCCGGTCCCAACTACCCGCCTCCGAAAGATTTAAACTATTCAATTCACTGAGGAAATTCATCGTTTTGACCGCGAAGAAGTCTGAATCGATCATCATCGTTTAGATAAAGCATTGTAGTTTCAAATGAATACATGTTTTTAATTGTTACTGCTAACACTATCCTTCACAAATATTTCCGSCCACATAACCATRACTGCGTCCAATAGTGTTGAACYACAACATTATCCATARCTAATACTACATTGATGGTGTATTTTAGGTATTCCAGGTAACCCTGAGTGYTTGACATGCAAGAAGTTTTCTGGCAAGCTGAAAATGGACGAAGCATTTGTAAACATCACAACCAATCTCAAAAAGCCGATAAACTTATTAGGAATATCTTCTAATTGTTATCTGGTAAGTATTTCCCTCGCCGTGCAGACTATAAGATCTCGGRACTGGAGTATTCTATACATTCACTTTGGATCCCTGTGTTGAACGCGAATGGACTGGGTTAGATTAGGCCTGGTTACCGTGTGGCCCATCACATAAGCCGCGGATAAGATGTAATTAGCCTTATTGATTCACTATTTGTGTTCTAGTGTCCATTACAAGTATTGGCGACTAATGTGACGAGGGAGTCACATATAGTGGTATCAACACATTATAAGTACAAACTAGCTGTAAATAGTCTTGACGGCTCCAGGATATGCAGGTAGCGCAGTCCCCGTACTTTTACTGCTAAAGTTCTCTTACGTCTTTTTGATGACCCCCATTGTTTAATGTGCCTTAAATCAATGTTGGATGGAAGATTGTAAAACAAGAGTGATTTACACCCGATTTCAAATGAGTGCGAACTCTCGAATTTTTTTTGAACGCTAAACTTTCACTCGACCGTCATTCACTCGACCGCTTGGTAACCAGGCACACGTGTTTTGTAAGTGATGCGTGACTTTCTGTAGCGGGACTTTCGCATTTAGAATTATGGAGGAAGAAGCGGTGGTCTTTGTTCGAGATATCTGTGGTCCTTGTGTTTCACAGAACATTCTACTTCACTCAATGCAATTGAGAACAATTAGAAGAATATCAACTAAACTTGATTAAAAAATATAATTTTCTATCTGATTTGTAGTTTAAATTTGGCTTTATTAACTTGTAAACATCAAATGCATGCAAATTGTACTTTGCACATGAACTTGAGGGTGTTGTTTTCTGCATCTTGAAAAGATATTCTTATGTTGAACTAAAATACACATTTTTTCTTTTTTTCTTTCGTTATGTAAACAATTTAAGTTTACAATAAAAAAATTATCAAGCAAGCGAAAAAATAATTACAACACTGTTGTTTAAATTAAAGGTTGAAAGCGAAGTAACTTATGTTTAAATGTAACCTT